AAGCCTCAGTTTGCCAACCACTGGGCTATGGTAATAAAATGTTATTCATTGATATAAAATGTTATTCATCTGTACACACACACACACACACACACACACACACACACACACACGTATATACACTAGAGGCCCAGTGCATGAAAATTCATGCACTGGGTGGGGGGGGGTCCCCTCAACCCAACTGCCCCCTCTCACAGTCTGGGAACCCTCAAGGGATGTCCTACTAACGGCTTAGACCTGCTCCTCTGCAGGAGGCTACAGGCTGATCAGGGGAAGACGCCAGCCCCATCACCCTGCTGTTGCTGCCACTGCCACCTCACAGCCACCAAGATGTTTTCATCAACACGGACTCCAGTCCCTTCACCATGAAAAAATGACAACTTTCTTTAGGCATTTTCAAGATGTCTCTTTCATAGAATATGACATTTCTTTCTTTCTTTCTTTTTTAATCCTCACCTGAGGATATGTTTCCATTGATTTTTAGAGAGCGTGGAAGAGAGAGGGAAAGACAGAGAGAAACATCAGTGTGAGAGGGACACATTAATTGGTTGTCTCCTGCATGAGCCCTGACCCGGGCCCCAGCCAGGGAGGAGCCTTCAACCTAGGTATGTGCCCTTGACCAGAATCGAACCGGGACCCTGTGGTCCGCAGGCTGAGGCTCTATCCACTGAGCCAAACCGGCTAGGGCAGGATATGACATTTCTTAGCCCTTCCAGCAGCAGACCTCTGTTTTATCCTCCAGGAGTGAAGTGGAAAACTCTAGATCACCTTCTTGGATTCTTATTACCCAAGCGAGTGGTGTGCCGCAAGCTTAGCCAATGAGCCGTCAGAAAAGGTGTTTCTTGTGCAGCTTGCGCGCAGAGATGGGACTTCTGGCGTGCAGTGGCTGCCAGGCCCTCTCTCTCTGGCCTTTCACAGCTGCGACAAAGGCCCTCTTTTCTCTCTCCGACCCTTTGCAACCACAGCGACTTTGTTGGGATGGACTTCCGGAAGATGTCCAGTCTAATTAGCATATTACCCTTTTATTAGTATAGATAAACACACATATATAGACACATATATATAGACATATATAACCACTGGTTACTGGTTCCTGATTGGGCCAAGGAAAAATTTCAGGGAGGTGTGAAAGAGTCCTAGCAGTCCTGATGCAGGGCTTACCTGTTCCTTCAATGTTGGCAAACATGATAATAGGAAAGTATTTATTTTAGACCATTTTCCTCCCACATATGTTTCTTTTTTGATAAGTTTTAAACTTTCATTTTTATATTTATGATCATTAAAATCTATATAAGCATGATCAAAGTATTCTATCTAGATTATATCCAAGAGTGGTGAGGGAAGACAGTATTAGCACTTTCTTATTTTATCTGTAAAAGGAAAGAAACTATGCTTCACTGATATTTATTATATATATTTAAAGTAGCAAATACTTAAGTCTTAGCAATCAGTGTAAATATATATATACACACACACACATATATATATACACATATGTATATACAGTATATATGTGTGTGTAAATATATATATATATTTATACACATATATACACATACATATATATACTGTATATACATATATGTATATATGTATATATATTTACACACATATATACTGTATATACATATATATGTGTATATATATGTGTGTGTGTGTATATATATATTTACACTGATTGCTAAGACTTAAGTATTTGCTACTTTAAATATATATAATAGACTTAAGTATATATAAGTATATATAAGTGTATATATATATATATATATATATATATATATCTCCATCCATCCATCCTATATAATAAAAGGCTAATGTGCAAATTGCCCCCACGGGAGTTTGATTGACCAGGAGTTTGACCGCTTGCTATGATGTGCGCTGACCACCAGGGGGCAGTGTGGAACGAAGGAAGGCCCCTGCTGGCAGCTGGCAGCCAGGGGAAGGAAGGCCCTGATCGGCCCTGATCACTGGCCAGGCCTAGGGACCCTACCCATGCATGAATTTCGTGCACTGAGCCTCTAGTATATATAGGTATGCATATATATGTTTGTCTTCACATTCTTTTCTTTTACTGGAATACATGATTTTAAAAAATGTAAAAACTACCTATGTAAATAACCACTATGTATTGTTTGTATTCAAACCCACTTTGAACTTCATATAACTTCAGTGCTCACTTTTTCTTTTGGTTTTGTGTTAAGAGAAAGCCATATTACCATATGCTTTGTTTTGCGATGTAGCTTTTGCGGGGACTTGATTAAAGTGTGGAAATTGAGTCATTACACCTGATAGTATAAGATTGCCAATCTGTAAGAATATCATATTCTTGTATCGATTGGATATATTTGAGGGATTCTGTCTTAATTTTAATAAGAAACAACTACCTATTACTTATAGGTGTGTAGTAGTATGTTTTCAGTGTAGATTGTTTTGGTCTTAATTCCAGCAGTTATTTTATACCCACTCAGTGAAGACTTAAATAACTGAAATAACTGCTGTGATGCTAACTTGATATGCAAGAGGAAAAGACACTATGGAGTCAAGATAGATCTCATGATAACTGGTGTTCAAAGAATGTTTATTGGCCAAGGCGTAGTTAAATATAACTACTGAAAAGTAAACAGTCTGGAAGTTATGAATTGCATTTTGTACAACATGTTTTTTGTGAACAGACTTCTCATATCATCAAATCATATTGTAGTGTGGATGTCAAAATATAGAAAAATATGAACTGTAAAGCCAGGCCTGATGTTATCTCTTTCTCCGTTTAAATATAACAGTAGCCATTTAGTTTTAGCAAAATAACATCATCCTTCAAGTGGAATTAATGTTTTTAGAGTAGTATTAGTTTGGTAGTTTTATTGGTTTAATTTATAATTTTATATTTATTTATAGTTTTATAAGAACTATAAACCTAAGGAGTTAACTTTCATGTATATATGTAAGTATTATTATACAAACAATTTAACACTTGGACCAAGTGAGAATTTTTTTCCTCTTGGAAAACAGTTCTGAATTGAACATTTCTTAAGTTTTAGAAACAGTGAACAGAGTGTGTGGTTGGACTTCTACACCTTTGAAATTCAGTCTGTTTTCTGTCCAGTTTTCCATTTACTATCCACAAACGTAATGATTTTTAAATGATGTATTGATTATGTTAACATAGGGTTATTGTGCTTATACTGAGGCTCAAAAGCATTTGGAGGAAAACCTGAAACTAATATAATGTTATATGTCACCTGTAATTGAAAAATAGATTTAAAAATTTTAGGAAAAATATTGATTGAATTTATAATTTGAAGCTGAAATTATTACTTTTTTATGATACTGACATTGAGTAGATATTGAATCTTAAACCAAAAACATGGCCTGAAGAAATACTTTTTATTTTCACACTGAGATTGGGAAGTCAGTTCAGTATTGTTTAATGGTGGCTTTTAATAAAAATATCTGATTAATAATCACTTAATATAAGCTAATCATCTTACATAATTAACATTGTAAGATATATTTTCCATTTTAAAAGGAATAACTTTCATCATTTTGTGAATATGAATCAGTAACAGCTGAAGATCTGATCTTTGAATGTGGTGGAGTTGGAACCCTTTCAAAATATAAACCTAGCCAATTTTCAAGAAAAATCAAAATGATTCAGTTTTGAACTTTAATGTATTTGGAACATATGCAGCAGAACATTTTCTTCTTGTTATCTCCTGCCAAACTAGTTGCATATGCCAAATTAATCTTTCCCTTATGTTTGGGAAGCTCAAGTACAAGGTAGAATTAATAATTGATGTCCAGCAGTTTTAATGGTAAGATAAAGATAAGTATTTAAGAGAAATTTTTTAATTTTCTCTTAAAGAAAGTATATGCAAAAATGAAAATATTTCATTCACTTGGTGAATATTAATTGAATACCTACTATATACCAGGCTGTATTACTGATGGTTACAGTGGTGAACCAGGGTAGATAAAGCCCTGCCCTCAGAGAGTTTGTAATCTAATGGGGGTGGTGGTGGGAGATGATAGGGATTCAGATTCATAAATCACCTGTAGAAAATAAAATACATAATGAGAATAGAATATCTAAGCTGAGGTTGAAATGATATGAAGATTTGGGAGAAGAGAAGCCTAAATTTGGTTGGTAGCCCCTGAAATGGGAAAGGCTTGGCATATTCGTAGGACAGAAAGGTCAGTGTAGAAGATGGAACGTGGTGGATGGTAGCGGCCAAACAAAGCTAGAGAGATAGAGATCACATTAATTGAGCTTTTTAGACCATGTAAGGAGTTTTGATTTTCCTCTAATTATAGTGGCGAGTCCTTGGAGGGTTTTAAGTAAGAAAGTTTAATGTTTTGACTTATTTAAGGAAGATCACCCTGGTGGCTATAAGGAGAATGGACTGTAAAAAGGTGAGAATGGAAGCAGGAAGCCAGGGGGGAGCTATTCTAGTGCCGTCCAATCACGAGTTGATGGTGGCTGGTACTGGGGAGCTGGAGCTAGTGAAGAGTGATTGGGTAGGAGATGTAATCCTGTGATACACTGATCGCACTTGCTTCTGGATTGCGTGTTTTCATATTTAAGCATTTGTGCTTCTGACAGTCAAATTGTTTGGAATATCATAGTTTAACATGAACTGTGTAAGTCCTGAGAATGTCACATATTACTAATTTATTTTTAAATGTTTGGGGAGGACAGTGTGGTTCCTACAGCTTCCTCTTGCTATATGGCATAAAGTACACTCTGTTGGGAAAAAATTTAAATTAGTAACTTCAAATTCTGCAGATAAATTCATGCCAGATTGCTCTAATTTCTCTATTTTAAAACTTACACTACATAAGGATATGAAAAAATAATTCTTTTAAGAATGTAATCAATGATTTCAAGTTATTTTTAATGAAGGAAAGAATGAAAACAATGCCACATGACATAAAGAAAAAGCATCTGTTTTTAACTTTTTGGTTTTATTTAAATAATATGTTTTCTGGAATTTTTTTTCTAGCCACATTGTTCTGATGCTTGCAGATGATATGGCCTGCAACCCTAGGAATCCCAAGCCAGCTACAGTATTTAGTCACAAGAATATGGAACTAAATGTATATGGAGATGATGTGGAAGTAGATTATAGAAGTTATGAGGTAAATTTTTAATTTAGCAACATTTTTGAAATGCAGTTATTGTTACTCTTAAGTTCTAAAATAGTGGTAGAATAAAATAGTATTGCTCTTTGTCTCCAAACTTTGTACATAATAGTTATTTAAGCCTTGATATAATTCTGTCTCTAGAGTTCATATTAAGGAAACAATATATAAGTAAAACTATCAGAACATGAATATTTTAAATATGTATTTAGGACAAAATAATTTTATCTTTGTTTTTATGAGAGCATTTTAGTGAGGTTTCATATATTAACTTTCCTTTACAGTAAATGTATTATTTGTTTTTCATATTTGATCAAAAATTTTAAGTTTTATATTTTTAGTAAATATATTAATTGTGGAAAAATTAAAATGACTAACAAAAACTCACCCATATTTCTACTTCTTAGAGGTAACCACTTTTAATATGCTTCTAGTGTTTTTATGCATATATGATTAAAAATAAAAATGTAAACTTGAATAGTGGCACTATACTATATTTTCTCTCTTGAAATGTCATTTTAAGTTTAATAGATTGTTGCCCAGCTGGCATGACTCAGTGGTTGAGCATTGACCTATGAACCAGGAGGTCATGGTTCTATTCCCTGTCAGGCTACATGCCCAGGTTGTGGGCTTAATCCCCAGTGTGGGGCCTACCAGAGGCAGCCAATCAATGATTCTCTCTCATCATTGATGTTTCTCTCTCTCCCTTTCTCTTCTTCTCTGAAATTAATAATAAAAAAAGGTTGTGAATATGTTTAAAATTTGAAGTGTTCTTTGCTGAAGTTTTCCTCAATAATCCTTCTTTTACTAAGTCTACCAAAAGTAAGACACAATGTGCTGTATTCCCAGAATTGTTTTGAAGCAATTTTAAAAGCATATCTATGTCCTTCCAGGCTGTAAACTACTTGAGGACATGACTTATATATTACCTATCTTATATCTAGCAAGTACCTTTAGCCCTTTAAAGACTTTAAAGAATATTTGTTGAATGATTAAATGTATATAAATGTTGGACTTTCTATTTGTTTATTTAGTCATTATAAAATGTAGAACAGAATTTTTCCTTCCTTTTTAGCCAATAAGACATCCTATTAAAACACTTAAAAATTTGCTGTCTTCTGGGATAAATTTAAACCAAAGAGCTTACACACACACACACACACACACACACACACTATGATCTAGAGAAAAGCCAAACAAAAAAGCTAGAAAGATTTTTCTGCTTTTTAAATTTAGATCTGTATAATATAACTTTAAATTAGCATTACATTCTCCATGACTTTAAATATGCTTTCAAAGAATCCCAGAGGTGCAGAGATTCCAGGTTGGGAAATCTGGTTTAAAGTGGCATGAATTTTTTACATGTTAAAGATATTCTTCGTGAAATTTAACAAAATGCACTAAAAAATCAAAGATACATAACTTGGGGATTATTCATGGACCGATCCATATGGTTTTATTTTTATGATTTATGGACCTGTCTTTCATGGTTGAACTAGAACTGACAGAAGTAGTTGCCCATATTAACTGCAATAGTTATATAGCTGAATTTATTCACAAGTTTCTATATATATTTTTTTAAATCTTCCTAAAGAATTGCCTATGAAGCCAGATTTATAAAATTCTTGGCAATACTTTGCATAGCTTTTAAGTTTTAAATTTAGAATTAACTTTTCTCCCCCTCCAAGTAGTTTTTGTTAGTTTTTTTTAAATGAAGGCAGTTATTTTGAGGTGCATATTTAAATTAATATATTTTTAGTTTATTTTTCTTTGTGTTTATTTTCAATTTATATTGAGTAATACATAGAGAAAGGAGAAAGAATGTTTTTTTAAGTAAAAAAAAATCAGGTTTCCCTATGTTCTATTTTATCTGATTTCTCTCTCTCTCTCTCTCTCTCTCTCTCTCTCTCTCTCAGGTAACTGTGGAGAATTTTTTACGGGTATTAACTGGGAGGATCCCACCTAGTACTCCTCGGTCAAAACGTCTTCTTTCTGATGATAGGAGCAATATTCTTATTTATATGACAGGTAATTTGAATTTAGATATTTAATAATAGACTATATTGCTACTCTTTTTAATAAGAAATTTGCATGGAAAGAAATTTAAACAACTTAAATGATATTTTGGTTAAAATAGTTGATTTGTTATACAGTTCCCTCTGTTATATAGTTCTCATAATATATAACAACTTGAAATAATATTTAAGAACAGTGTAACGTTTTGTGTTGTCCCTTAGTTTCTTATTTCTCTTCTTTTTACTATTACCTTGGTAAAGCTTCTTATGTTTTACTTAATATCCTGCTTTAGCCTCCTTGCCTTCAGTTTTGTCTCCTATTAATTGTCCTACTGAAGTATTTAATAGAAATTGCAAATCTATCCCTCCTCTTCTTAAACCTCTGGTTTCCAATGATGGAGTCTCAAATATTAGTGTGTATGAGGATTACCTAAATGCAGATACTTAGGCCTTTTCCTAAAATCCTGATTTAGTTTTGCTCCAGAGTGTGGCTCATGAAACTGCATTTTTAATATAGTTCCCCAGGATGAGTTGCTGTAGTCTTTTGTCTATACATTGAGTGCTGTTGTAAAGTCCTCCATAATATAGTTATATTATTTGTGGAGTTATACTATATGTAATATATAATTAATATAATTTAGTTAATATTATTACTTATTTAATTTTAGTTCTTATACTTTTTCTAATTCCCTTCCAAGCATTGGACTATTTCTGTTCTCAGATTGTTTGCTTATGCTTATTGCCTTTGCTTATTGATGTCTTCTCAGTTCACTTTGCCTACCTGATTATTCCTTAACGTTTTAGTCTCAGTGATTTTCCTTTCTAAGTCTAGGGTGACCTATGTTTTCAATTGCTTGCAGCAGTTTTAGTTTACACCTGTTGTCCCAATGTAATTAACAGTGCCTCCTTTCTTCCTCAGAAGTGTCCTGGTATGTCCTGGTATTGCCCTAAGATACTTCTCATCTCCATGGCTGGTGTAGGCTCTTTTCTTTGTACTCCCATATTAATCTGCAGTTTCTATTTTAGCATTTAAGTTACGATTACTTTTTTGTCTGGATATTTATTGACTTTATTACATTTTGAACTCCAAGGTGTCAATGATGATGTATTTTTCACCTTTTTATCACCAGTGCCCTGTCTTATAGTAGTATTCAGTAAATATGAATGTTGATCTGTTGTCATTTAAACATTTTTTTCAGGGACATTCCATTAAGCTGATGATAAAACAGGTGCAGAATGATTCTTAGATGTCACAGAAAGGCTGTTACTGACCCCTACTTAGCAGTTTCCTTTTATTTATCTATCACTCTGCATTTATTTACAGCTTTTAAAATGCAATCAATTTATAAACCTTATAAATGAACTCAGCAGAGTTAATGAAGTCAGGAAAATTTTAATTTTAGTTTATTTAAGTTACAAGAAATTTTAAAGGCTGTGTGGCAAATGGGACGAAGTATAGTCTTGTAGCTTAGCTTTATTTGTTACACCAAACTAGAGGTTTTACAACAATTTTTTTTTCTGAGTTGATTGAAATGGAAGAAATTCCAGTAATCTAAAATAGGATTTTGTAAACGATGGTCCAGGAAAGGGCCCCCTGTTTTGAAAATCAAGTGTTAGTGGAACATAGTCGCATCCATTTGTTTTACATGTTTTCTATGACTGCTTTTACACTACAATAGCAGAGTCCTGATGACCCACAAACCTGTAACATTTACTACCTGGCCCTTTACAGAAGGAGTTTGCTGACCCATGGAAGAAGATAGGAGGGTTGCTAATTATAATATGGTGATAAAACTGATAATAGCTAGTATTTACTGAGGCTTACTATACCTAAGGTAGTATTCTAAACCACTGTGTGTAGTTCATTTCATCCTCACAGCAACCGAAGGTGCTGATATTTAGAATTGATATAGGGTTGTGTGGGTTGTGCACTTCACTTAAGTGTTTGGGTAGGGAGGTGAGTGGCAGCTAAAATTCAGTAAATCTTTACACTTACTAAGCTGTGTGCCCTGCCATAGAGTTGTCTAATGGGAAGGAGTAGTATTTTCCCCCCACAAAGGCATACCCACTAACCACTTCTGAGCTCACAGGACTGCATATATTCAGAGAGGCAGTAAAATAGAAAACTTTTTCTATTTTGCTGCCCAGTGGGAGGTGCCTTTATAAAATCTGTAGCTATGAAGGCATGCTAATGAAGGTCTTACTGACATATTTCTCACTTTACAGCTGAAGAAACTGAGGCATAGAAAGATTAAGTGATTTAAGATAACAGTCATTAAGTGGATAAGCTGTTGTTAGAATCCAGACAGATTGAGTCTTTAATTCATTCTAAATGTCAGAATCTTCTGGTCAACTCTCCAGGGTGGAATTTGATACTTGTAAAAACATCACTTTTTAAGTGAGAACTACACTTTCTAGTAGTAAAGCATTCCAAGTATACACTGTGAATAGTGCTGGCATACCATGAGACTTGCTAGTATCTTCTACTTCTTGCTCACCACACGTGTTTGCTCAGTGTATGAGAAATTTTCATATTTGGAAACTCATTTCTGACCTAATAATGGAGCCAATGAGAAAATGTAAATGTGCTTTTCTATAATTGAATGATAGAAAAACTCTTAGAGATATTATATCTACTATTTTTATGTCTATCATTGTTCTCTTTGTAATTGGTATAAAATTAACTTTCACAGTATTTTTTACTTTAGAGTATGTAATAACAAATAATATTAAAGATTGCCATGAAAGAAATAAATATTTATATCTGGATATATGTGGTTTGCATTTAAAAATGTGTCTGTTTGATCTTTTTGCCTCTTCCTATAAGGACATGGTGGCAATGGTTTCTTGAAATTTCAAGATTCTGAAGAAATTACCAACATAGAACTTGCAGATGCTTTTGAACAAATGTGGCAGAAAAGACGGTAATTAGCAAATAACTACTTTTCACAAGATAAATTGGTACCTAATTTTTCCATGATTAGTAGATCTGTAGATCCTACTTTATGAGATTTTTAATTTATTTGAATCATTTCTTTTAGATTTATGTTTGTTATTTCTAGTGAATGGAGTTATTTTTAGAAGAAAAAATTCAGAGTTATTGAAGAACATGGAAAAAAGTTAACCTTTCAACATCACAGCTCTTATTATTTAACCATCTTTTCGAGGAGCTAAGAGTCCCACTAACAACGTTCCCCATTATGTAGGGGGATTATGAACAGATATTCATTTTCCACCTTGTGCCTAATCTTACTTTTTGCACATTCTCTGGCCCTCCGTGTGATAACAATATATTACTATTTGGAAAAAAAATGTTGAAATTACCATTAGCCTAAAATTTGTAACGACTCATTACGATGATATATTGTTATTAATCTAATGCTAAGCATCCCTTTAGTGGAAAGTTGTTATATGAACTTATTGAGTGAATTTAAAATAGAACAGTGTGGTGATGGCCAGAAGGAAGCGGGGAGCAGGACTGGATGGAGTGGGCAAAGGGAGGAAAATGGGGACATCTGTAATAGTGTCAACAATAAAAATAAAGTTAAAAAATAGCCATAGCACTGCTTTTAACTTGGTTACCCACAAGAAACACCTATGGGTACCTTTTAAACATATGGCACAGAGGGGAATGTGATGCTTATTTTGCCTTGAAAGGGTTAAAAATATAGTAGAAGAGAATACACAACTACGCTACAAATTAAATATTATAAATATTGAATTATAAGCACAAGCAGAATATATGGAAGTATTGAGGAGGAAGATTTTGCTAGTTATTGGTTTTATCTTATTCATAGTTTACATTTATTGAATGCATAGTAGGTGCTGGGCATTGTGTGATTAAGTTTTAATAACAGCTCCATGAAGTAGCTACTTTTATTGTTCCTGCTTTTTATAAATGATTAAATTGAGCTAAACAGATTAAGTAACTTGCCATGCTTTACACAACTAGAAAGTGCCAGCACTAGGATCCATGCCCAGGTGATGCAATATTGTACTGCTTCACGTAACCTTAGAAGTTTCTGATCCTCAGGGGCCTCCACTGAGTTTGTCTCAGAAGAAATGTTATATTAATTGTACCTTCTATCACCTGCTTAGATATTGTGGTTCAAGATTACATACTTTTGCCTGGCCGGCTTGGCTCAATGGTTGAGCATCAACCTATGAACCAGGAGGTCACGGTTCGATTCCTGGTCAGGGCACATGCCCAGTTGTGGGCTCGGTTCCCAGTATAGGGTGTGCAGAAAGCAGCCAATCAGTGATTCTCTGTCATCATTGATGTTTCTATCTCTCTCTCCCTCTCCCTACCTTTCTGAAATCAATAAAAAAATTAAAAAACAAAGATTACATACTTTCTTTTCTAGGTGCAATGTTAGCTATTTGCCTAGATCCAGTGTCTGCAATAAACCTCTGAGAAAACGTATCTGCTCCCTACTTTCACTTTCACCAGTGAGGCAGCTCATTCTAAAATATATAGCTTATTATGTTTATTCTTTCACTTAAAAAAAGCCTTTGGTGGCTTCTTCAAATTTATAGGATAGGACCCAGACTTTATATTGGATACTTTATTTACAGATTGACCTAACCTAACCTTTTTGAAATGAATTTCCCTCCATTTATCCAAATTACTTTAAATCTGAGCTATATAGTATTATTCTCCAATTTCCCCAAACATTTATACTTATTCACATGTATGTGCCTTAGCACAAGCGTTTTCTTTCTTTGCTGGACACAATAACACTCACTCGTCACTGCCCATGTCCGACATCACCTTTTCCTGACCTGCCTTTACAGTTCTCTCTGTTCCTTTCTCAGTGCTCTTACTTTGAGCTTTGACTTTGACTTTCCTAAGCAATATGAGGGCAGGGACTGTTGTATTTCCAGCTTAGTATCAGGCACACTGTAGGCTCTCAATAAATATTTGTATCACTTATCGTACAGTTTAGCATCTGTCTTCCAGTTAAATTTTTAAGCTCTTTGAGTATGGTGACTAAATCATATTTGTGTGTGTGTGTGTATTTTTTTAAATTTCTATTTTTTTTTCTGAATGTAGGTCAGTTTCTAGGGCAGCATGAGTACCAAGTATGTGTTTGTTGAATTCAGTCTTGAGTATTCATTAGAATTCTGAATTATGTGGCACAGATAAGGGAAGGGGAAAGAGTTGGGGCACAATAACCACTCCCCACTGAGGTGGTTTTTCTGGACAGGATTATACCTTTAATATTTCTAATATCAAATTTGTATTGGGAATTCTTCTGAAAAGTTTCAATTTTTAACTAATGAAATGACTAAGATATAACTTAAACATGTTATGCTATGGAAGTATTGTAAAAATATTAGTCAATGTATGATTAACAACATGATTCATGTCAAAGATATTACTACTTTTCTTTCAGCTACAATGAGCTACTGTTTATTATTGATACTTGTCAAGGAGCATCCATGTATGAGCGATTTTATTCTCCTAACATAATGGCTTTAGCTAGCAGCCAAGTGGGGGAAGATTCACTCTCGGTAGGTGATTTTTCCCATTTGTAAACTGCATTGTCTTTAGAATGTGTAGCTGTTTCTCAAATCACTTATATGCTTAATGAGTATATCTGCTACTTCTTATTCTTAGACTTTTTTTAATACCTTAGAAGGAAACTTTGATTACATTTAAAACATTGGTTATAATTATGTTATTAGACATATATTTTTTGCTTGGCTTTTAAAACGTTTTTTTTTTTTTTTTTTTTTTTAATTGAGGTATAATTGACATTGGTTTTAGGAATATAACATGATTTGATATCTTATATAATAAAAGGCTAATATGCTAAGTGTCCGGTCATCTGGTCATCCATTCAACCAATCAAAGTGTAATATGCTAATGACATGCTAAGGCCGCTCAACTGCTCGCTCTGACATGTACTGACTACTAGGGGGCAGATAGTCGATGGTTGACCAGCCGCTATGATGTGCACTGACCACCAGGGAGCAGATGCTCCTACCAGTAGGTTAGCTTGCTTCTGGGGTCTGGCCAATTGGGACTGAGTGAGACAGGCTGGACATGCCCTGGAGCCCTCCCTCGGTCTCTCCCTGGCTGGCCAACCTCCCGCGTCCCTCCCCGGTCCCGATCGTGCACCAGTGGGGTCCCTCAGCCTGGCCTGTGTTTTCTCGCAATCTGGGACCCATTGGGGGATGTCAGAGAGCTGGTTTCGGCCTGATCCTGCAGACCAGGCCAAAGGACTGCACTGGTGCCCGAATTCGTGCACCGGGCTTCTAGTTTGTATATATTGTGAAATGATCACCACAATAAGTGTAAATAATATCTGTCACCATACAGAGTTATATAATCTTTTTTCATGTAATGGGAACTTTTAAGATCTCTTTTAGCAATGTTCAAATATGCAATACAGAATTATTAATGGAAGTTGCTGTGCTATAAATTACACACCCATGATTTATTTATTTTATGATTGGAGGTTTGTACCTTTTGACTTCCTTCAGCTGTTTGGCCCACCACATATCTCCATGTCTTTGGCAGCCACCAATCTGTTCTCTGTATCTATGGGCTTGTTTTATTTTTATTCCATATTATTTTATTATTTTTCATGGCTGAATAATATGCTATTGTATATGTTTTGGTTTTTTTGTAGCATCAACCAGATCCTGCAATTGGAGTTCACCTTATGGATAGATACACATTTTATGTCTTAGAATTTTTGGAAGAAATTAATCCAGCTAGCCAAACTAATATGAATGACCTTGTAAGTATTTGCTTGATTTGATTATAGCACATAGGTATGCTAATCTTAACATGATCAGTGAAGTCTATTATTCCGTGTACTCCTAGGGTACTGTGCCATATGCTGAAGGCAGCCTTGTAAAACCACACCTTGAATCTCCCTTTACAGTAGTATCTCTTTCTTTACTACAAGAAACGTATAGATTTAGCCTAGTTATCTTGCTCTTCCTTGAGATACTTTTCTTTTTTTTTTTTTAATATATTTTTTATTGATTAAGATATTACATATGTGTCCTTGTCCCCACGTTACCCTCTACCCCCCACCCCCCCCACCCCCGCTCATGCCCTCACCCCCCCGTTGTCCATGTCCATTGGTTAGGCCTATATGCTTGCATATAAGTCCTTTGGTTGATCTTTCCCCCTTACCCCCACCCTCCCCTACCTTCCCTCCAAGTCCCGACAGTCCAATCAATGCCTCTCCGTCTCTGGATCAGTCCTTGTTCATCAGCTTATGTTGTTCATTATATTCCACAAATGAGTGAGATCCTGTGGTATTTATCCGCTCTCAAGTTCCATCCATGCTGTGGCAAATGGTAAGAGTTCCTTTTTCTTCTTCCTCTTCTTAAAGAATACCTTTCAGCATTTCATATAATGCTGGTTTGGTGGTGATGAACTCCTTTAGCTTTTTCTTATCCGTGAAGCTCTTTATCTGACCTTCTATTCTGAATGATAGCTTTGCTGGATAAAGTAATCTTGGTTGCAGGTTCTTGCTATTCATCACTTTGAATATTTCTTGCCAGTCTCTTCTGGCCTGCATGGTTTCTGTTGAGAAATCAGCTGACAGTCGTATGGGTACTCCCTTGTAGGTAACTGACTGTCTTTCTCTTGCTGCTTTTAAGATTCTCTCTTTATCTTTTGCTCTTGGCATTTTAATTATGATGTGTCTTGGTGTGGTCCTCCTTGGATTCCTTTTGTTTGGGGTTCTCTGTGCTTCCTGGACTTGTAAGTCCATTTCTTTCACCAGGTAGGGGAAGTTTTCTGTCATTATTTCTTCAAAAAGGTTTTCAATATCTTGCCCTCTCTCTCCTTCTGGTACCCCTATAATTCTGATGTTGGTACGCTTGAAGTTGTCCCAGAGGTTCCTTACACTATCTTCATATTTTTGGAATCTCTTTTCTTTTTTCTTTTTCGGTTGGGTATTTTTTGTTTCTTTGTATTTCAAATCTTTGACTTGATTCTTGGGATCCTCTTGTCTGCTGCTGGATCTCTGTAAATTATTCTTTATTTCAGTCAGTGTATGCTTAATTTCTAGTTGGTCCTTTTTCATGTCCTCCATGGTCTCCCTATACTTATTGAGGGATTCATTAAATTTATCGGCGGTTTCCATAAAATTCTTGAAAAACCTTATAACCGTGGCCTTAAACTCTATATCCAATCGTTTGCTTTCCTCCATTTCTGCCATTTGTGACCTGTTTCTTTGTCTCCGCATTTTGGCAGCTTCCCTGTGTTGATAGAGTGGCCCTGTGCGCCAGGTGTCCTGTAGGGCCCAGTAGCTCAGCCTCCCCAGTTACCTGGGGTGGACACTCTTGGTGCACTCTTGGTGCCTTGGTTGTTGTAGAATCACTGGGAGGAATTGACCTCCAGGCCAATTGGCTGTGAGAATCAGCTGTGTCTAAAGTGGGAGAACTTCTGTGCTGAAGACACCCTTCTGGGGCAAGACTTGCTTCAGTGGGGCTTTGGTGCTCACTGAGTCTGCTCCCTGAGTGCGTCCCTTATGGATCTGAGGAGTTGCAGTCTGGATGAACCCCCTCTGACCACTGGGTACAGTGGCTCCTGGATCTAAGGAGGTGCTAATTCAGCCTCTGCCTGAGGCCACACAGCAGGAGCCACGAAGAGGCTCAGCTGTGAAGCAATGCAAGCCGCTGCGGGGCCTTGGGCCTTCTCTTGGAAGTTCCAGGTCTGCCTGGTTCGGCTGCAGTTAGGTACATTCACATGCAAAAGCCTCTGCCACAGCCTGGTGGGGCGGGGTCTCAGGGAGTCAGAGGGCGGAGAAAGCGGCCATGGCCGATTCTCCGCCCGGAGTCGCGCGTCTCAGTGTTCCGGTAACGGCTGCAAGCACCTCTGAGGGAAAGCCGCCCTCAAGTTCGCTCGCTGCCGGACAGACCAGCTTCTCCCCGTATGAGACCTGGGTCCCCAGAGACTTCCCGGAACCGGAGTTCAGAGCCGTCGGGAGTTTGTGATTCAAAAAGACAGCCGCGTCCTCAGGCGCCACCCCCTTTCCTCGCGCGCGCGCGCCGCCGTACCTCTGCACTTCACCTCCGCAGCGCCTCTGGCTCTCAGCGTGCTTTTCTTTCCTTCTAGTTGTGGAATTTACACTCAGCCAGCCTTCCTGTTGTTCTGGATGATGTTTGCTCAGTCCTTTGCGGTAATTTTCAATTGTTGTGTGAGGCGATAATTTCCCGGTGTTTACCTATGCCGCCATCTTAGTTGCTCTCCATGATGAAGTTCTTAATCCACTCGAGATACTTTTCTATTTTCACTCATTTGCTCTGCTCTTTTTCCTCCCAGAAATGTACTTTTTTATATTCACATATTGAAATTCTGCCTATTTTTCAGGAGTAAAATCAGATCCTGCCTCCTTCAGGAAGTCTTCCCAAATTCTTCCTTGTTGGAATTTGCTTAAAAAAAATAAAGCTTTTCAGAGCTTTATTTCTCTTTTGTATCATTTACCATAGTCTATTTTTTTTTGAACTTACAGGGTGTGAGTGTCTTTCTCACTTAATGGGAAGTTCTTGGAGAAGAGGGACCTTTTCTTACGTATTTTTGTGCACCTACAACTTTTAATACAGTGTACTGACATGGCTTGTTGAATTTAGCTCACTTTTTCCACTGATTTTTCTGTACTGGTTGTATCTTTTTAAATAAATCTATTTAGAGGTTGCTGTTGAAAATAGGTGTAACTGCCCTAGCTGGTTTGGCTCAGTGGATAGAGCATCGGCCTGCAGACTGAAGGGTCCCAGGTTTGATTGTGGTCAAGGGCACATGCTAGGGTTGTGGCCTTGATCCTCAGTAGGGGGCATGCAGGAGGCAGCGTATCAATGATTTCCTCTCATCATTGATGTTTCTCTCTCTCTCTCTCCCTTTCCCTTCCTCTCTGAAATCAATTAAAAAGAAATAAAGAAAGTAGGCATAATAAAAGCTTGAAACAATTCTAGATTGGATAATGCCGGGAGCCGGTCCATGCTTGCTGTTTCAAGGGACCTGGCATATATGGCATACTGTTCTTAATATGTTTGCTCACCTTCTTGGCACTGTGTGTTTTAACCAAGGTCTCTGAGAAAGGTTGTTTCAATGACATTCACTCTTTTCCCCCCTATTAATTTACATCTTGTTCATGCATTCACATATTTCTTGAGTTATTGCTAAGTGCCAGGCACTGGCTATATACCCTAGTGAAAGAGGCAGGCACTGTCCTTACCTTCATGTAGCTTCAGAATGAAGGGGGTGCTGGGTAAACCTTGAGGACAGGACCATGTCTTACCAATTTTTGCTTCTTCTGTGAAGGTAACAGTAGGAAGTGTATGTAATAAGTACTTTATATGCTTTGCTGAGTGATTGAATATGTGTCTGTCCTTGGTAATCTATTGATGTGAGTTATCAGGAGTAAGATTAACTTAAAAATTACTGTGAGATCTGTGTAGCAATGAAGTTGTGTTTTTAGACAATAGTTTTTGGAGCACTGGTGTCTGCACATGCCATGGATTTGTTCTCATCATGCATAAACTATGAAAGTTACTTGATTTATGGAATCGTTTCCATAGGTTCATAGCAGGAGAGCAAGGGGGATGTCTAGTGGGGAGGCTATGCTTGAACTCCCTGTGATCCAGAGCACTTTGACTTCATTTTTTTTTTTTTTTTTTACATATTGGGCTATCATGTTATTTATTTTTTTTTAAAATATATTTTATTGATTTTTTACAAGAGGAAGGGAGAGAGATAGAGAGTTAGAAACATCGATGAGAGAGGAACATTGATCAGCTGCCTCCTGCACATCCCCCACTGGGGATGTGTCCGCAACCCAGGTACATGCCCTTGACCGGAATCGAACCTGGGACCTTTCAGTCCGCAAGCCGACACTCTATCCACTGAGCCAAACCAGTTTCGGCTATCATGTTATTTTTTAAAATATGTATATTTTTATTGATTTCAGAGAGGAAGGGAGAGGGAGACAGAAGTATCAGTGATGAGAGAGAATCACTGATCAACTGCCTCCTGCGTGCCTCCCACTGGGGACAGAGTCAGCAACCTAGGCATGTGTCCTTGACTGGAATCGAATCTGGGACCCTTCAGTCTGCGGCTCTATCCACTGAGCCAAACCAGCTAGGGCAACCGTGTAATTTTTAATTTGAATTTAAAGTGTGAATGAAGGGTCACAATTACAAAACGTTTAAAGAAACCACTCAGGCAGAGCAACCTCCTAAGATAGAGATGTAGAAAAAACCAGTTCTCTTGTCATAGTGTTGCATTTGCATTCTTATAGATTTAAGGGTTCAAAATATACTTTGTAGCATATGATTCAAAAACTCGAATGTTTTTTACTCTACCCTGGCAGTTTCCCTTGTTATCACCTGTTCTTATGTCTTTATAACTTTCTTAGAATGTCAAGCACTACTATAACAATGAAACCTTTATCTTTAGAAACGTATCTTCTTTAGGTTGGGAGAACTTTAAAAACACAATGCAGTCTACTATATTGTGTTATGGCTTAATAAAAGTTGTATGTGTATTTATTATTCTTACATATATTTTTTCAGTTTCAGGTATGTCCGAAAAGTCTATGTGTGTCTACTCCTGGACATCGCACTGATCTTTTTCAGAGGGATCCTAAAAATGTCCTGATAACCGATTTCTTTGGAAGTGTACGGAAAGTGGAAATTACAACAGAGACTATTAGTTTGCAAACAGATTTAGGAATCCTGGAAAGCAGGTATTCATCTTAATTATTATTCAAATAGAATATCCTAGTTTAACAATTTTTAAATTTTTATGTAACAAGAGTAAGCAATGAAAGTTGGTGTTTGTAAGTAAAATTACACACTTCTACCCAATCTTCACTTTATTTAGGCCCTATGCATTTCAGATTTATGGGCAAAAGCTATAAATATCAGTGAGAAGCTATGATCATGATTAGGATTATGTCATAACTCCGAAATATAATGTTTGTAGTAAGATGATTTGAGATTTGCTAAAAAAAAAAAAAAAAAAAAAAAAAAAGACTAAAATGTTTCCTGTAACTGGCTGTTTCACAGCCATACTTTTCTGTTGTTGGAGGTGTATATAATGGCTCAGAAGACCTTCATGAAAGGTCAGGTATGTGAACATTTCAAAAGATTAATCTCCAATGAATGTGTTTGCTGTCACCAATTGAAGTAGAAGGTATTAAGTGATGTAACATTGAATAGGGAAGTTGGCAGCTGGGCCCTTCGTGTGTAATACGGGCCCTAGGAATCTGGCAGATGCAAGGCAGATAAACATAAAAAGGGAAGTGAGTGCCAAAGAATACAGGTGCCAAATACATACTTCAAACCATAACACAATGCTTGTTGTTCAGAATTTCTCCCGGCTCCAGCAATCTGATTAGTTCTCTGACTGCCATCTGTTTTGGCTTCTAGAGCCTGAATGGTTTGTGAGCCTGGTTCAGTTATATCTCTGGCTTTTCTCTAGTGCTGTATTCTGTTAATCTGGAACATTTTCTCTGGGGCTGTTATAAATGTGAAGTGACCCTCCATCAACAGGTGCCACTGTTTAAGATTTGTTTTGGAGGCTTTTGGTAAAGGAATGGAAGAGAGAGGCATAAGCCAGGTACTTCCTTCTTGGGGAGTGGATTGTGTTTGAGTGAGCAGTGAGTGTGCATTCATGTGTGTGTGTGTGTGTGTGTGTGTGTGTGGGAAATTAGTTGTTTTTGGATATGTGAATTTTATAAATATAATTTATTTTTTTTCTCTAAACATTTTTAAAGGCAAAATATTTTGTTAGGATTAAATAGTTAATATCCACTTTCTTGAAATATATACTTTACTAGGTATTGAATTTTAATTGATATTATTATTAATTATTTCCTATTCTGGATATTCAAGGCCTTGGATTTTTTTCTTTTCAGTTTTCTTAAGACAACAGATCATATCACTTTTATTTACTGTTTAATACTTTCAAATTACCTTTGTAAAATAGTTGAACTGTATCTTAATACTTAGCAACTAAACTTGGAATTGAGTTACTATATGTCTTTTACCAAATTCATTTTATTTCCCTTGAACTTAAGTCTATAAGATGTGATATATCTTCTCTTAACCATATGAACACTGCATTCATTTCCTTTATAGTCAAGGACTATCTTTATACTCCTTCTGTACTTATTTTCTGTCCTCTTCACCTCACAAAATATTAAATATGTAATAATTATACAATAAAAAATGATTTCAGTGGAATTCTACTGTTTCATTATATATTATGGAAGAATGGAATTTTGTCTCATAAATTATCCCCATGTACTGTGATGGATGCAAAAATACTTGATGCTGAAGAGTATCTTAATTCATCTTTAATTGAGAAAATAATTTTAAATATTAAAGCCAGACACCAGGCACCGTTGAATTAGAGCACCCTCTAGTGTTTATTTAAAAAAAAAACTTATTTAGAATATTGCTTACAGATGGTTTCATGATCACTGGTATAGACTATCCAATTAATTTAGAAAAATTAAGTTCCCAAAATGCTTCAGGAATTTCTACATGGATGTTACAAATATTATCTTGTCCGTAGTTATATTTACATGTAAAAGTGAATGATAGCCAGTGCTTTGAGAAAAGTATACTAATGAGAGATCAGATATTGTGAAAACTATTTTATTAAGGAAATTATGGGCTAGAATGTGTATGTATTTTTTCAGATCTTAAATTAAAAATATTAACACAGTAGCTGCTATTAAAATTGTCAGTTATACTTTAAAATATTACTTTATACATTTATTAGGGAAACAACAGAACTGATTTGTTCAGACTTAGACTGTCTATATTTCATATTTGTGTACTAGAGTACACTATACTAAAACCTAATGTGGTGAATAACTTAGTACATAAAATTGACCAAAATAGCTATATGAAATAATTGTTTTTATATGTCTTCTGAAACTTAGATATTAAGTAAGATACAGTCGTATAGTTAGTAACACTTTATTTTGCATATGTCTTACTAATTGTGTTATTAATTTATTTGGAAGAACAAATGAGGTAAAGTATGGACTGATTATAATAATTCTGGCTTATGTAATTTGATTCTAACTTCTTCATCTGAATATACGTAGGTTGATTTTTGACAAGTATGCAGACAAATAAGCAGTCTACCCTCCTGAAAGATTGGGCTTTCTAGAATTTAGTCATAAGTCCATGTCAGAATTACTCAGATTACCCGTTTTGTGTCCTTACTATATTGGGAAAATAACCTCCAGCCTATTGCTGTAAAAATATAGGCACATTTTAATGTTACAAAATGTGGAAGTCTAAATTCTTTAGGCATTGCCCAAGAAAAAAACAGAATACATTTTTTTCTAGATGAGTAAACTGAGGGTGAGAAAGGTTAAGATACCATCTAATAAATGGTATAGCCAAGATACGAATGCTTTATATTTCTAAAAATATATATATTTTGTATTATTCTTTTATAATTTGCCCTGAGTTACTTGGCTTGTTTTCTTTTAAAAGAAAGTAAAATATAAATGTAGCTCAACAAAGTATCACAAAGTAACTACTCAAGTAACCACCTGAAAAAAAGTAGAACAGTGACGGTATACTGGAAGCTGCCCCATTCCTTGTGTCCTTTCCCCATCTCATCTCTACCCTTTTATCTCCCCCAAAGTTAACCACTATTCTAACTTTTATGGAATTCATTGTCGTGCTCTTCATTTTAGTTATATCACCTAAACAATTATGTTTTGGTTCTTTTGCCAATATTATGTTTTTGGAATTCACTTGTGTTGTTGTGTGCAACTGTAGTTTGTTCAGTTTTTAAAAATTGAAGTATAATTTACTTACAAAAGTCACCTTTTTTAGTATACAGTTCTGAGTTTTGACAAATGCTCACACTTAATCACCACGGCAGTCCATCACCTCAAGAAATTTCCTTATGGCTATTTTTATCCAATCCTCCCACTATATCCCTGGAAACCACTGGTGTTTTCTGTCCCCGTGGTTTTGACTTTCCCAGAGTGTAATATAGTTAGAATCATACATTCTGTAAGCTTTAGAATCTGGCTTCTTTTACTGGCATAATGCAGTTTGGATCCATACCTGTTGGTCAGTAGTTAGTTCCTTTTTATTGCTGGGCAATACATGTGATACAGTTTATCCATTCACCAATGAAAGGATATTTGTTTTTGCCCCCTTCAGGTTTTTTTTTTTTTTATATATATATATTTTATTGATTTTTTTACAGAGAGAAAGGGAGAGAGATAGAGAGTTAGAAACATCGATGAGAGAGAAACATCGATCAGCTGCCTCCTGCACACCCCCCACCGGGGATGTGCCTGCAACCCAGGTACATGCCCCTGACCGGAATCGAACCTGGGACCCTTCAGTCCGCAGGCCGACGCTCTATCCACTGAGCCAAACCGGTTTTGGCGCCCCCTTCAGTTTTTGGCAATTATGAATAAAGCCACTTTAAACATGTTTTCATTTCACTTGAATTAAATATCTAAGAGTGGGTTTACTGGATCATGTGGAAGTGCAAGTTTAACTTTATAAGAAACTTCCAAACTATTTTTATAGTCATTGTACCATTTTGCATTTCTACAAATAGTTGTTTCACATCCTTAATTACACTTAATATTGTCTTTTTAATTTTAGTTAGTCTAGTTATAGGTATGTAGTAATATATCATTTTGATTTTAATTTGTAAATCCCTGATGACAGGACATTGAGCACCATTTCATGTGCAATTTGTCATTCATACATATTTCATGAAGTGTCTATTAAAGTGTTATGCTTATTTAAAAATTAGGTTTTTTTTACTAAATTATAAGAAATCTTTAAATATTTTGGATATAAATTCTTTGTCAGATATATTTTTGCAGATATTTTTTCTTAGTATTTTGGCTTGCCTTTTATTTTTTTAATGTGTTTAGAAGAGTAGACTTAATGTTAATGTCATTCATTTATGAATTTTTTCTTTATGCTTAATGACCTTTGTGCAAGGATTTTTAACCTTAACTCAAGGTCACAAGGACTGTCTTTTATTTTCTTATAGAAGTTTTGTAGTTTTAGCTTTTATGTTTAGGTCTTTGATTTACTTTGAATTAATTTTTGAGCATATTGTTAGGTAGGACTTGAGGCTCATTTTTCTTCCATATGCATATCTAGTTATTCTAGCACCATAAAAAAGTTTGAATTCCTTACTAAGATGTGTTGACACCTTTGTAAAAAAAAAAAAAATCACATGACCATATATGTGTGGGTCTATTTCTGGACTTTACGGTTGCATTGATCTATAGGTCTGCTTACATCACTCTTATACTGTCTTGATTATTTTAGCTTATAAGTTTTGAAATCAGGATGTATTAACTCCTAAAGCAGTTTTTATTTTTCAAGGTTCTTTTGACTATTCTAGGTACTTTGTGTTTCCAAATAAATTTTAGAAAACAGCTTGTCAATTTCTAAAAAAAAAATAAAAGCCCTTGGATTTTGATGGGATTGGATTGATTCTGTATATTGATTTGAGGAGTGTGGACACCTTCATAATATTGAGTCCTCTGATTCGTGGACATATCTCTCCGTTTATTTAGATCTGTAATTTTTCTTTGTGTTGTTTTATGGTTTTCAGTGTAGATGTCTTTCACAATTTTCATTAAATTTATTTCCAAGAATTTTTATTTTTGATGCTATTTTAAGTGATATCTTCAAAATTTATTTTCTATTTGTTGCTCAAATATAGAAC